AAAAAAAAATACTACTAGGATTTTAAGTTCTTTGTGTGATTTCAGATCAGTAGTAGTAATGCAGTATATCAGTGAAAAAAACAACTAAATTCAGTTGAGCTGAAAAGAATGATACCAAACAAGGCAAGGGGAAAAAATAAAATGAAACAATTTGAGGGTGAAATACAAACGTAAACTCAAAAGGAGTCAAAAATGGGAGGTTGTATTTCAGACCTCAGTGGGTTAATCCAACAAATCGTGAAAAATTAGGTTTAAATTTTTGTTCATGACAGTGCAGATTTCTGACATTTTGTGTAATTTAAGCTGTAACAATGTGACTGTTTTCTAACAAAAAACAGTGTGAAATTTAAATTAGACTTGTGTTTGTAAATGAACCACCAGTGTTGTGTAGCTTTCTGGGTTTTATACTTGTTGGGCTACATATTTATTTATTATACAGGCTATACAGTACATAGAGTCAAAACTCACATGTTTTATGTAACTAAAGTGTTTAATTATGTGGGCTACAGACAATTAAGTTCTAGACTATATTTATATGAAAAACGTTTTTGAATCATTTGAATGCATTTGAATCATTTAACCCTATGTAACCACCTGCATATGTCTTTGAAAAAAAAAGGCTTCAATTTTGCCACTCATTTGATTTCTTTGCCACCCTCAAGCCACCCTAAGAAAATTTCTCTAGATCCGCCCCTGCTTGTACAGATTTGACAGTAATTTAACTTAGTGCACAAATGTTTTCTGCAGATTAAATACCTTATTTTAAAAAATGAAACAGGGTGAAAATGAAAGGACACACAGAGGTCATTATATTTAACTAAAAATAAACATAAAACATAAAAACTAGATGTGAAAAAAATAATATTTCTTTTAAATAGTTTTTTAAACTGTTGTTAGGAGCCGTGGAAATAAATCATTTGCAACAACATTTGCACCCAATGCAATTTTATCACCACCTGCTTTACGGTTCAATATCAACTCATAAATCAGACTGTACAAAGAATAGGGGGGAAGCATTAAACAACCTACCGTTACAGAAGAGATCTATCCATCTAACCTTTTCTGCTTCTGCACTACTGGCAGTAAGACTGTTTTCTTATTTCTGTAGATAAGTCACTTCCTTTGAATTCTTCAGATACTGTAGTGCAGCAGGGATTCTGACCACCCCTTTTATACTATTAGATGAACACTTTCATTTTCACTCAAGATCATGTGATTTCTTGTAAAGGGGTTTAGTGCCTCACTTATTTTCATAAGGCAGTGTAGCGCAGGGGGGATTCTAAACGCCCTTTCAGTGAAGAGTAAACATGAGAATTACAATAACTTTATGTTCCACACAAACATGCAAACACAAAAATAATGCTCCACAGCTGTGTAATGTGCTTCAAAAGTTTAATTTAAATAGTGTGTAATAAGTAAGACTACGATTACTGTTTCTGTGTGGCCTAACCCACTTTCTTCTTAGTGGGGTAAGATTAAGGGTTTAATTTTTGAGATGTATAGAGGTTGCAGTGGCTCTGAGCTGTGTGCTCTAAAATAATTTGGAGGAAATGGTACTGGTGGCAGCCAAATGTTTCAGTCAAAGTTTTCCTCACTCTTAGCTTGATGTAGGCCTGTGTTTGTAACTGCAGTTAAGGTTCATAAACCCAGTTTTGTGTGATAGTTTTAATGTACTTAGAGACACATTAGACATATTACAAACTTATCACATGAGAATTTGTTATATTGTGCTGGCTTAACAGGACCTTTGCACTGGTCGTAGCCACCTCTTTTTTCTTGGCTATACTAGAAATTTAACAAGTGGGAGTTTAGTGAAACTCCAATTGTAGAGCAGTTTTTTCACTGTGCAAAAGCCCAACTACTGGCCATTCCAGTGGGCTAACATATTGAAATTGGTCTAGTTCTTGTAAAAAAAAACACACACACACACACAAACAACAACAACAATTAAGAACTAAAATATGCACTGCGCTTGTTGAGATCCTTCACAGCAGTTTATTTTGGAGGTGGATGCCTTTTATTCAGGAGTTGGTGCCATGCTCGCAAAGAGAAGATTTAATGTATCCCTCCGCCTTCCTCTCCTGCTCTCTCTCTCCCACAGGATGTAATTATGACATTGAAAGAATGGAGACATTAGCTGGAGGAAGCTGAGCAACCTTTAAACACCTTGTGTACCTGAAACCAACCATGCTGCTCAATGCTCGCTATGCCAGGTGGGCCAATTTCACCACTAGATTTAACCTAGCTATCACCTACAGATTTGGATCCCACAATGTGAAACCAGTCCTCTCCCATCAATTTTTCACCTCTAAAACCACCTCCGAGGGTGCCAGAGTCCAGGATAATCCCCTTATGCCGTCAGAGGAACACTTTCGTTTTCCTCCGAAGGGTGGCTGGCCTCTCCCTTAGAGATAGGGTGAGAAGTTCGGCCATCCGGGAGGGGCTCAGAGTAGAGC